ATGTTTCCTAGACCTCATACGTACATCATTTTTAGCTCAACGAACTAAGCGACTATGTCCACTAGTCTGTATAGGCGCAGCTCTAGGGTGGGGGACAAGTACGTGGGGTGCAAAACCAAACACCAACTGATTATGCACAGGGGAGACTGAGGGCCGACGGGAATCGAACCTGCAATCTCCCCTTTGCAACGCCAGAGCTCTCACCACTGAGCTACCATGGACTTCCTTACCAACTGGTTACCTCAAAGGTAAGGCACCAAGCATGCCACAGGCATAGATGTGGGGGCAATGGGGATTGAACCCACGACCTCCTGAATGCGGCTTGTTTGTCTTACCAACTGAGGTACACCCGGATGGCAAGGAAGGTTTGATTGTCTCTGATTGGAGTGCCGGTTTTCAATCCTCTCGCTCCTCTTAAACTATCAGTACATTGCGAATGGAAATTGAGCCAATCTGCAGATTTTGGGTGGACAGTGCTACCGGACCAATATGCCTGGCAGCGCCAGCCAAGTAAGAAAAAAGTGCTCTGCTGAGCCAACTTGAGCCGCAGATTTCGGGTGAATAGTGCTACTGGACCAAAATGGCTGGCGGCCAGCCAAAAAAGAATAGAAGCACACCACTGGCGGTTGGACAGTGCTTGGCGTGCACAGTGCAAACCCGCCACAGCAAAAAAGAGGCTTGGCGGTACTGACGGTTTAATGCAGGAGTTTCAACCACGGGTTATGTCAAGCTGAGGAACAGCTGAATGACACAGACTTGGATTAGTCAGTGCTGCCTTTCCTGCAGCCCATTTCTAAGGTAGGTGGTCATGGGTACTCTCATGCCGATTGTTTGGCTTCTCGTTCTTCCCTACAAGGTACATGCATTATGGACATGCCTCACTGTGTGGCCGGGCCTGGCAAGTTGGTTTCGAGAAAAAAACATATAATATAGCTTCTCTCGCGGTGAGACGTGCCATTGATGAGTTGGGAAAGGACTCTTCTGGGACCATTCTTGGAAATATTCCGTCCATGAATCTCTCATCAGTGGGGAAGGGATGCTTCTTCCCCTCGTCCTTACCAAGTCTCATGCCTGGTGTCGCTATGACATACATGATGGCGTAAGATTGTGGGAAAGACTGGGAGGTTCTGTCTTCTATCCCTCTCACCTCCTGGCCGAGTCTAGAAAAGGCCCACAGCTATGTCACTATCCTATCTGAAGACAATGGTTATTGGAATCGTGGAATCCGAAATGTATGTGGTCTTGGGGGCCTTTCTTGAGGGGACGATATACTGGCTGTTCATGCAACTTTCATGCCTGATGAATCATGAAATGGGATTCAAACCACCAGTACCTCGCCCGTATGTAGGCTGCGGGTGCAGCACCGCGACGTTCGGAGGTCTGAAACATGACAAAGGTCATTTACGAAATTTATCAACGCCGGCCTGGCCCCGAAAGCTGCGCCCGTAAACGAGCCGCATATTTTTTTTTCCATGAGGGGAATGGTAATGGGTGTTTAACAGCTGTTTTGTGTGCTGCCAGTTGTGTCATGTGTGGGACGGAGGGAGTGCTTCCATTCGTTTTACATACGGGTGATTGAGGGTGTTGGGATTTTCTTTTGCTTAAGCGTGGATTCTGATGCTTCTTGATTTCCTAAGACGTTTGACAGCGCTATAGATCAACGGACCAGATGCAGGTTGAGGGAGGTTCTTTGCTGCGATGGCCCTCCGTCCTTCCAACATTTCAAAACTGCCATTGCAATTTCCAACGATTTGTGCTTCTCATGGACAGTCCCTTTGTACCACAATGGGCATGTGGTTTGCATCACGAGTGGTGTGCTGCCGATGGCCTACCCTGGGGTTTGATTGAATTGGAGTGCTGAGCTCGATTTAGTCCTGCTGCTGTCAGAAAGGTTTTGACTTGTAATAGGTGTTCATTAGGTCTGGTTTTCGATGTCGCTCGGACTGTGTGATCAATTTGGTCTCTAGGCCAGTGGGTGGTCTGGTTGACTTCATTTGGCACTCGTTGAGGGTGATGGTTTGACCCTGTCGCAGTCCACATTGTCCTCTTTCCTCATTTGTGATTCGTTGCTGCAGCCGGGCCGGACTACACTGGCCTGATATGACCTGCTTCCTGGTTAATTTGCTCATCGGTTCGTTCCATTGCATTTCATTTGCCTTTTCGCCCCATCCATCGCCTTTTTTCTTGTGTGGTGTGGTTTGGTTCGGTTTGGTTTTAAGCCCACATCTAACTCCTTCAGTTTTTTTTTTCAGCGTGTGCCACTTTGTTATCAAACTCTGAACTTGGGTACTATTAAGATGTCATTCGCAGGTGTAGTTGCCATGTTATTATCGTGTGCACTGATTGATTTGATTTACTTCGCTTGCCATATATGATATCATCTGTCATAGCCTGGTGTGGTGTGGTGTGGTGTGGTGTGGTGTGGTGTGGTGTGGTGTGGTTTGGTGTGGTGTGATTTGGCTTTGGCTTTGACTTGGCCTTGGGCGTGCAGTTGATTTCAGTTGGTTTTGGCTTGGTTTGGTTTGGTTTGGAAAGTCTTGACTCGCTTAGTCCAACGCTGGCTTGGTTTTATTTGGCCTGGTTTGGTTTGGTTTGGCTTGGTTTGACACGCTGTTAGGAGGAAGGCATGGCTTTGTGTCGGTTCTCGCATGAGCGGCCTGTTGACTCCTGTCTGAGCTGTCAGACTTCTCAAATGGAGTTTTGACTAAAGCCGGTGAAGCGGGCAAGCTCTAACAGCCTATTTTGGTTTGGCTTTCCTGAAGCATGCCAGTCATTTTGCATATTCTCGCATATTCTTGACGTGCCGCAGAAAGCTTAGATGAACTGCTTTCCTCGTGTGGTTTTTGGTTTGTGGGCAGTTATGCTCCCCTCCATCTTAATCTTTTTCTGGTTCATTCCCACCATCCAGAGGCAGCATCTGAATCATTTGTCTCGAACACCTGCTTTTGTTTGTTCGCGTTCAGAAAGAGGACTGGGCTTACTATAGAGAGTCAGATCTGGTAAGCAGCAACTCGCCCACTGAGTTTAGCTGCGGTTGCCGCCGCAATGTGTGTTTGTGCAGCCCCTCTCCCCCATCAATTGTGTGTGCTTTGTTTTTTTCGTGTTTTCATTTCTGTGTGCATCGAAGGATCCTTTCTCCTTCGTACTCAACAGTTTTCTCCGCTTCTGTCTGCATTTGGCTGCTTCCCTGTAGGGGAGCTTGAGGCAGAATGCAGCTCTATACCTCAGTGCTGTATATCGTTCATTCTTTTTCTATATTATTAACATTAGTATCAAGTACTACATGCATCTTTGTTGCATGGGTGTGGTGTTCCTCATGGCATTGTTTCACCCAGGGGAAATAATATATGATTGCCACCCTTTTCCCCTTACTCAGTTGCTTGCTTGTTGTGGTGTGCTCTTCTCTTCCGTTTTGACCGGGGCCCATCTGTTGATTTGTGTGTGCCATAGCGGAGGAACCATGCTGATTTCATATGTATGGGTTTAATTCCAGTTTTTGGGGAGGTGTTCTGAACGGTTGCAACCTCCTCTCTTTCCTGTCTTCATATAGCAGATGAAGAGCAGATACAGTGGTGTGGGTGGGGGCTGCATACAGGTCCAACCCTCACTTGGTATCCAAACGTGAACTGTCGCGAAAGGGGATAAATCACAAGCTGGTATATGGGACTTGCTTCTGCTTAACCATGCTTCCATCGATTGGCAAACACGTGCAGTCGCACTGGCTATTGCTCAGACAGCATTTGCAAGGAAACTAGATGCAACCAGCAACCTGAAAAGCAGAGTGTGAATGCTAATCCATTTGTTTGTCACGTCTTGTCTCACTCCTCGGCGAGAGTCTGGAGGGCTTTTAACCTGCTCTGTGGGTTATAGAATTTGCTGGCCTTAAATATCACTTTGTGTTGCATTCGAACCCGAAGAAATCTATGGGCGTTTGAAGTTCTGCAGGGAAATCATAACCTGCCCGGGGCAAGCATTGTGGCGAGATGATGAAATCCAGGTCAATGCAGCCGTGGGGCCCGGTTTGGAATTGCCTGGCCTTAGCTATCACTTGTGTTGCATTGGAAGCTGAAAAGGACTGAAGATTTGGAGTTGGGCAGGGAAATCAATTATCAATAGCCTCGCCACGGCTAGCATTGTGTTCATGATGAAATCAACCGTTGGGCAAACCAGTTGTTGAATAAGGACAACAGCTGAGTCGCTGAAGAAACGGAAATCACTCAATGTTTGATGTGACAAGGAATTCTATTCAGTGGTGCGGTGATACCTGTGCTCCTAGGCGTGGCATGACTGCTCGAGTGCTTTGCTCTATGGAAATGACTACTCATGACTGGTTTTGTGTTTCTACAGCTGGAACCTCTGTTGCTCCGTGTTCGTTGTGCATTCATTGTTGAATGAGAAAAAATGTGGTATATGCCATGATCTATCGATGTGCCATGATGGCAAACTGACGGTCTATCGTGTTCATCATCTCACCCTGTTTCTCACTCTAGACTCGTTTTTGTTCTGTCTAGTAACCGTCTGAAGTGGGCTCTGAGCTCGTCGCCTGCTTGTCCTTCACTGTCTTATCACTGTTTTTCCAACAATAGATGCATGTGAGTGTATTCGCCACTGGCAAGTTTTGTTCTCTGTGCCCCTGTCTCTTATACACATCTATATTTTTATTTTTTTCCCATCCATTACATTGCCCTATTGTCGAGGTTTGCCATTAATAGCACCTTCAATGAAGGGATTGCATCGCATCCACCTGTTTGGTCAGGGCCCTGTCCAGTTGAAGTATCTCTACTGTCTTCTGCATTAACGCCACTCGTTGCCGAGTGTTTGCGGGTAGCCCCTCCTTATAGTAGCTATGTGCCGTACTTGATGGGCTGGGATTGGGGGGGGGGAGGGGGGGTTGTGGTTATAGATTTGGACCGTTTCTAAATCAACGCATGTGATCCTTGCGCAGGGGCCATGCTAATGTTCTCTGTATCGGGATGAGGGATGTCCCAAAAGGATAGAGCCGCTTTTTTAAATGAGGGAGCCTAATAATTTTGACATGAACAGGCTGCTTTCACTTATGCCAAAAGAGAAAGTCAAGGTTCAAAACTCTGTCCCACCAGGCAGTATGGGTGCACTTCAGATGGCTTCCACCTTGGGTATGCTTCCACCCCCAGCCACCGTCAGCCTAGTCTGCACTCTGGTCTCTGCAGCATTCATCTGGGCCCTCCCAGCATTGCATCTTGTCCGTTTGTTTGGTAAGACAGCCCCCCTCTGTTGAAGTATATCTCGAGTGTCTACTGGATTGAAACTCCGAATACTTGCAACTGAGCATCGCGCAGACAGACTTTGGGTGCTAAGATCGAAAGTCGAAAGGGAAACAGCCCAGATTGTACGCTAAGGTCCTAAAGCAATCACTACCTTTGTACAATGCGGAGTGCTGGCAGGCAGCCCTTCGCTGTCCAACGGAGTATCACTTGTTGGCTAGGATTGGCAGTGAAGGACAGCGGCATTTGCGCAAGGAAGCTTGGTGTGGAGAGTTGCCTTGTTCGAAGGATCAAGAAACTAGCAGGCATAGCTGCCAGGCTCTAGACGGTCACATCGGAGCTGTATTGGAATGGCACTAGCCTGTCACGGGATTGTATTCAGTTTGGTGGTGCTTACAGTAGAAGTCGTTCTGAACCGTGGTTGGAAACGGCCCTCGTCAAACCTTTGCTGGCGCTTCTTCATGCGGAGTAGTAAGGCAGTTGTAAGGCGACGGCAGTTGTGAGACATGGAGTGCTGGAAGAGGACGATAGCGGGGGCGAAATGCAATAGATACTGTGGATGAGAGGAATTAGAAAAGAGCGTACCATAGGTTCTCGACAGGAGCTTAGGAGATGTCCAGAGTTGTCAATGAGGTGCTTGGCAGGCAGCTGTACTTGCTGCCTTATGCTCCACCAGATGCCGGGGTTTGCTAAGCTGCGAGCGGCTCGAATGACTCGTAGTCGTATTGGATCTAGCATATGAAGATGGAAAGCGTAGACGTATGACGCCGCCTTCGAAAAGTGGCAGCAGCACCTATCACAAACTCGTTGCGTCATCCATGTTTGTGATTGCTGTTGCTATATCGGAGATAGTTTATGCACCGCGGTCTTGCCATGGAAGACACTGTAATAATGTTGTGGCAGGCCGATGATCTTAAAGGGATCCCGCACACTATCTGGAATCTTACCCAGTTTATGTGAAACCAGCTCCGCAGCCTGGGAATGTTTAATAATTAGGCATCGCCGCATTGGTGATTCTGCGGATATTTAATAATTTGGCATCGGTGATTTTGGAGGGCTTGCTGCAATGATCATATTCTTCAGGAGCACGTGTCACATTTTGAGGGTCGCTGGAGCGATGACATGTTAGGGGGGTGCATCAGATATCAATCGGCTTTGTAGCTGTAGTAGAGTTCAGAGACGCCGTACACCAGGGGATGCAATGGGCCCAGTCTAACGGCCAAGGGGGAAACTGGAGAGTGTGCATTGTGCCAGGAGGTGGATTGGATGCCTAAGCAAACCAGCGCGGGTGCACGTGGAAATTTCTAACTGCAGCCGAATGGTCAGCAATAATGCTGCGCAGTGTGAGAACTACTAACTGCAGCCAAATGGTCAGCAATAATGCTGCGCAGTGCGAGAACTAAAGTGCTGCTTGCTGCCATGGAGGTAGAAGAACAAAAGCGCCACATGGTGTCAGGGGTTGCTCATGTGAGCTTTTATTTTATTTTTTTTTGGGGGGGGGGGGTGTTGAAGAGAGAGTTCTGCCCCTGGCCTGGTATGGGTGAAGCTGCGACGGGCACTACTGGATTGAGATAAAGCAACTGTGGGCGGGAGAGAGAGTTCTGGCCCTGGCCTGGTATTGGGCGAAGCTGCAACGGGCACTACTGGATCCAGATAAACCAACTGTGGGCATCGCTTTGTAAATCTAATAGGCCCCTTGACTGACTGTTGAAGATAAAGTCCACATGGGAGGCAAAGCTGAGGGTGGTGTTCACGTGGGAGTAATAGAGAGTATGGCACAAAAGGCATTTGCAATCCATAAAGGTGGGAAGGTCTAAGAGTTTACATACCAGGGAGTGCAACTGTGTGCTTATGGTCTTTCGTGGGGTGCCAGCGTAAGTGAAGGGTAGAATTCTGGGGAACAGGGAGGATTGGCCTGTGACGTATTGGCGAATAGGTCTACAGATAACAAGCAGCGGCCACCAAATGTGGAGTAAAGTGGAGCATGTGATTTACGGTGTTCTTCTTATGCTGCTGAGCCGATTCTTGATAGATTAGGCTCTCTGACATCGTGCCCGTAAGTATTTTATTAACTTGCTGTTTCCTCCACGCTGGGGATTCTGCATGGCAATTAGGACGGGTGCAGGGACTTGCCGTGTCTGGTGATGATTTGGGGATCAGTTGTTAGAGAGCCAGGAACTGACGTCAGCCAGTATCTACCTGAAGATCGCGAAGGGTCCGCGGGTCAAACGTGCGAGGGTTCTCTGAGTTCTCTCCTCCATACCTGGGGTTTTTGGGTGCAGTGAAGATACCCGCAAAGGCTTGGATCCTGCTGAAAATGCTTTTTCTGAGGGGTGGTAATGACTTAGGGGCAAATCTACTATAGTCGTGAACGGGTAGAAGTCTGTATTCTCAGCTTCATCCCTCAGCATGTAGGAATTTCCAGAGCGATCATTATGCCAGCCGAGACATCTGCCGGCTGTGCTTTGGCGGTCTCCACTAGGTAGGGCTTGGAGGCTAATGCCGAGATGGACATATTCATCTTGATAGGCTCAGTGTGCAAGTTTATGCCGTCAGGAGATGCTTGCGTTAATGATGCCCTCATGTCCCTCCTCTTCCCCTCGGTTGATCGCTTCTGTTCTTTGACTCTAAAAGCCTGCGTTGCTCGTGGAAAACATAAATCTTGGGTTTTTGAAAATGCGCAAAGCGATCACTTCGAAAGACAAGTGGAGTGTTGTTTTCTAGTGCTTTTCTTTGGATCACTTGGGATACACTCATTTCTCCCATCGAACGCAAGTAATTTTGATTCATAGATTGCAATTGATTAGCATTCAAACTATTTATCATTCCATCACACCATTTTGATGCTCCAGACACACTTAGTCAGGGATTCCAAGCGGACTTTTGTCTGGTTTCCCACTTAAACGTTTACCCCGATCCCTTCTGGCGATCTTGAATACTTGGAGCTCTAGTTCCAAGTTTGAATTTTGCTCCGTACATTTTGGCCAGAGAGTGACGTAAAATAGTGGAAAAATACCACATGATACAGCGTCTGTTCTGTGTGTTGAAACCACTCGTTCAATCCTCCCATCTGCAGGTATTTGATTGAGTTGATTCGAATGAATTCCCTTGCGAGAGCTGTGAACAGTCAGCTCTCGAGCGAGAGCTATCACTGCATTATAGACAGTCTTTTCATCGTCTTCTGCTGTTCGCCTGCTTCACTTTGGCATTACCCCGTCGCCTTCTCCGCTCCTTTTGTTACCCTGTGTCCCCAAAATCTGCAGCCGATGAGTCAAATGTTGGAAGTACTTGTTTCTGTTCTTGTGCGGACAATACTGGTGATTGGATTTGCTTAATATATATCTTGGTTGTAGAAAAGTAAGGTGCACTCTATTGTCCATTCTTTCACCTTTGTGCATCACGCCAGCCCATCTCTGATGCTGTTTGGTTGTGGCTTGCAGCAGTGCCTCAGGCAGGTGGCCCTGGCTACACAGGCGGGTTTGCACAGCCAAATCCATACGGCACCTATGCGCAGCCTAGTTTTGCCTACCAGCCATATGGGTGAGTTGTCTTCTGCCAGTAGTCCATCTTCAATGCATTTCTGCCAGTAGTCCCTCTTCAATGCATTCTCTGTTCTCGGAATGGGGGAAATTGGAAACATGCTGTTTCCATGTTTATAAGCACCTTCAGGTGTAGAGTGTGGAATGTAAGGCTGTCCATGACTGGAGAGACGAGGAAAGAGGATGAAGTACTGAAAAAGCAATACGGAGTATCAAGGACTGTTAGGGGGATCTTATCCCTGCGTTAGATAAGATCATGTTCTGTTGTGGAGAGAAGTGGTTGGAAATCGTGACCATGGAAAATATAAAAAGATGTGTTTTGTGGACCGTGTCCGTTATGTGCGGAGGAAGGATCAAGGCGTTTCTGTTGCTTTCAGGCGGGTGGCCCTGACTGCACAGGAGGGTTCGCACATCCGAACAACACCTATGCTCTTGTGTGTATGTGTTTTTCTCTATGCGTGCATGCTTGCAATGTATGTATGTTTATATTTTCAGAGAGAGAGAGAGAGAGAGAGGTGGTGAATGCTGAGCTACGGCCCAAAAATGTCTTTGTGATCATTTTGCAGGTATGGACAGCCCCAGTTCCCTGAAGGTTACGGGTATGCTCAGGTAGGGTCGCACACTTATGTTTGCATCAATCCAGCTTGGTTGTTCCGACTTTATTTTATTTCCTTGTCAAAGCAATCCAACGTGGGATGGTTCTGATTGTATCCATCACATTTCCAGAGAGTCCGTATACCACAAGTTGATACAGACCGATGTTACGAGAGAAATTGAAAAGCAAGGAAAAGAGAAACGAGGTGCACGTCCACACCCCTGAGATTTCATGAAAAGCAGCTGGAAACCACTGAAAAGGGAATTGAAGTGCCCCAAACTCAGTCTGAATAAGGTCAATTGAAAAGGCAAGGGAGAATGGAAATAATGTTGTCCTCGACAATTTGTCATCCCTTCTCAGGATGAAGCGCCAATGGGAAACTCTCTCTCGTCGCTCGTATGTGCTTTTTTGTGGTGTGAACAATCCTGATCCATTACTCGATCCTCTTACTTTCCCAGGATGTCAATCGGGAAGCGAAGTCGGTGAGGAAAAGTGTGAAGAAGCAACTCAAAGCATGACAAAGTTGAACTGCATTTGATGTTGAGCTCACAGACGAGGTCCATGATGTCGAAATCCTCCCTCGTGCGGTATTGCATGTGCCAAGGTAACACATGCACATGGAGGCGAAATGAAAGCCTCAAAAGCAATGGCTAGGAATCTAGGACGCGTCCGGCTGTCTATAAATCTAATGGAGCGTTCCCCCAGCCAAACACACGTCAAATGGGAAATCGAACTTGTTCTTATCTCGTGTGAGCCACAGATGCCTCGGCGGATAGATACCTGGTTCAAACCTGGGTCAAGCTATAGGAGGACTATGCTGGGCTGTACTACCGGAGTGTACTACTTTAGTCCTGAGCAGTGGGCCTGGAAATCTCCTGGAATATAGGAGGACTATACTACCGTTAGTGTGGTCCTCGCAGCATTGACCCAGCCCCCTTTGCCTCCAGTAAGTCTGCCTTTATGACCGACCGTGTGGCCATGTCTCAGCCCCAGGTCTCAAAATCGTTTTGCCTATAGTAGAATAAGTTGCTGCCAATTGAGTACATGTCTAAGGAGATGCCTATTCGAACCTACCGTCTTCCTCCTCTTAGAGTGAGTTATGTGGCAATCAGACATTGGAAGCATTACCTCCATGGGAGGCATCGTGAGCTGAAGTCTTACCATGAGACACTCCATTGGATCAAGACACAGGTCCATCTTTCTGGAGCGCTCAAACAGTTGATCCAAGTCATGGGTATGTTTGACTTCACCTTGAAGTGTTAGAAGGGGCAACCCAACGTGGTGGCTGATGCACTATCAAGAAGATCTGACTTTGAACGTGTGCTAGTGACCGAGTTTGGGCTAGACAAACATGTAGGTCAGCAGGTGGTAGATCATGGAGGTAATGTTCTCAAGGAGCTCAACGGGCTTCAAAGGATTATTTTGTACCCAATAACAAGTCCCTAAGGAGTATTCTCCTCGGAGAGTGCCATGACACGACCGGTCACTTTGGGTTCAAAACGATTTATGCAAATCTGTTACAGTCACTTCGATGGCCTGTTATCAAAAGGGATGCTTATTCATATGTGGATTAGTTGTTGGGTTTGTCAAAGAGACAAGCCTGTCACACAAGTGCCGTTAGGGGTGCTGAAGCCTCTGGCCATCCCTGCTGGACGTGGACAGTGTGGACAGTCAGTGGCCATGGACTTCCTGGACACTCTTGTCACCAGCAGAAAGTGAAATTGACAGATCTTGGTAGTGATAGGTGGATTCTCTACCAGATGCAGCTAGGACACACACAGTCCTTACTGCAACTGCTCACTAAATATTGGACAGCAGGGTGTGCAGTTTACCAGAGAGCTGTGGCAGTCCTTGGCTCGGAAGCACAGATTGGCACGGAAGATGACGTCAGGGAATCACCCGAAGCCAGCAGTCACCCTGTACAGCACTATGTTACCCCACATCATCTTGAGGGGGATGTACATCTGTAATATAATGCCATCCTGTCAGCCACTGGCCGTACGCCAAGCTAACTGCGTGCTCGCTGGAAACCTAAAACAGCCTCCTGCAATGATAGAGTTTGCGTTAGAGTACAAACAGACTTTGCAGAAGGCAGTAGAACAACTTCGAAAAATATACCATGATAGCAAAAGGAAATCTGTACACTATAGCAATCGCTAATGTGTGTGCGTCCTACCAGGCCACGGCTCAGATTGTTCTGGTCTTAAGATTTTAAGATCATGCGATGATCCAGGTCATCCATCCGGTACCTCTGGGCCCACAGCCCGGATCAGAGAAAAATCTGCAACTTCCCGTGCCTGGTGCCCCTCAACAAGAAGGCCCGGATGTGTGTCCCCTCAGAGGCCCGGTACCTCTCAGGGAATGGATTGATTCTACCTACGGTGGCACTGCAGCAGCAGTTCATTCATTATAATCTATCTGTGCCCGTGAGCCACCAGCCCTGTTGAAGTGTTTTCGTCCTTATGTCGTTGGAAGCCGCCGTGTCACTGAAGCCACCGTGTTGAAAACTCTAGCCCTGTCGAAGGGCCTCAGAGCTCTCTCCCTTTTGTACTCGTGTTGGTGGGCTTTGTCGCTGACTGCTGTGGTTGGACACCATTGGGGACAGAGAGAGAGAGAGAGAGAGAGCTTGGTTGGTAAGGGGGAGCCAGACCCCCTCCTCCTCTATGCAACATCCTCACCTACACCTCCGGCTTGCCTCCTCTGCCCCACCTCTGCCCAACCTCCTTCGTCCCATCAGCTTCTTGACCTCCTCTGCCCCACCTCACCTCCGCCCTTCACCTAACATCCTCCGCTACACCTCTGCCCCACCTCTTCCGCTCGACCTCCTCCACCGAACCTCGTCCACCCAGTCTCCTCCTCCCCACCTCCTTCGCCCCATTTGCCCCACCTCCTCCACCTCACCTCTGCCCGGCCTCCATCCTTCCTCTGCCTAACCTTGGCCTGTGCTCCTCCACCAACGACTTAAGTCTTCTGAACCGTCTCAACCTCCTTGGACGGCCCTCCTCCACCCGTCCGCCCCCTCCTTCCCCTAACTAAGTTCGTGTGCTGTTGTCTTTCAGGGAAAAAAAGACAAACCCTGAAAATAAAGGGGAGAGAGAGAGAGAGAGAGAGAGAGAGAGACCCCTAATAACGCCCCCCTTACCCCAGCCCCCTAACTAATGCAGATGACATTGGCCAGCCATGCGGGCCATGCACCACCCTGCCCTTCCCTAGTCTTGAAGTCTGCCTGCATGAGGTTTCAATTGCGAGCAAAGGGAAGCAATGGCAAGAATGATTGTAACCTTAGGGTGTGGGAAGGCTCACGTGTCAGGTAGTTAGCCTGGCAGCCCCAACGATTGTCCCGACTGAGCCAACTACGGACATGGTCGGCAATCCCTAACAGATCTAGGCAGACCCCGGCCTCAATATGACAAAAGTGAAGGCCGGGGCAGGTGATAGGGATCGGGCAGGCTGAGTGTGCGCCATATCTTGTGACGTGCATCCGAGAGGAGGGGTGGTGATGTGGGAGGTGCCCCTTGGGGATTGAGGAAGGCTGTGGGAGTGTAGGATGCTTACCTGGTGGTTGGCAGGGGAGCTCTAGTGTATCCAGTGGTGATCAGCAACACACACACACACACACACACACACACACACACACACACACACACACACACACAGAGAGAGAGAGAGAGAGAGAGAGAGAGAGAGAGAGAGAGAGAGAGAGAAGATGAGTGTATAGATTGGGAAGTAGTGGAAGTGAACACACCTGAGTTGAGGGGCCACTACTGTGCTGTTGTATTGAGTGAATACAGGCAAGCAGCGCGCGTTCATTAAGAGGGACTTGGTGTTCTTGCATTGGTGTTGTCATGGCCTTGTCCATCCTGCTTTCTTTTTGGTCCACTCATGCTTGCTCTTCAATTAGTTCGAACTGGGCATAATTTTTATGTGTTCTTAACTTCTTACAGGTAATATAGGCTGGCTTTGTATGTACACAGACATATTGCAAATATATATACCTTGTGAAACTTTGCATGCAGCTGGCACCCCACCTGGACTTCTGCCCGTGATATTTTGGCTGGTATGAATAAGTAGGAATTAGATGATGTGGCTGAATGGTACACGCATGAACTATTGATAAACAGACCTGAGTTGGAGTCCTGCTTATCAGATGAATATCATAACTCTGAATTACCTGGAGCTGGCCAATTTGACGATGGCGCCTCAAGGCTGTTGTGCTCCACAAAAAAAAAAAGGGCATGGAGAGGTAGAAGAGAGGATCAGACCTTCCAGACATCTGTTAAAATTGGCGTGATACAGGGAGGATCACATGGCCCCTGCGGGAGGATGGCACGGAAAAATCGAGAAAAGAAACGGAAAAGGATCATGAATTGTTCCGGCAACTCTTGCTGCTGTCTGTTACCTCCATTTTCTTAGTGCTCCCCTCAGGGTCCAGACATCGGTTAAAATTGGAGTGATACAGAGGCAACTCCTGCTGCTGTCTGGTACCTTCATTTTTTTGTGCACCCCCTGCCCCCCCTCCCTGGTGTCCAGACATTAGTTAAAAATTGAGTGGTACAGAGAGGATCGCATGGCCCCTCTGCAAGGATGGACACAAATCAATCAAGAAAAGAAATGAAGAAGTATTCATTAGTCAGGGATTCAAACACACGTTTAAACACAGATAAGCAGTGTGCACAGGGCAAACTACTCAAAAGGACAAGACGAAGAAGACAAAGAACCGAGCGCAGGTATATTCAAAAGATAAACATGAAAGCACAGCGATGTCAGGCGAAAAGACCCAACACCGTGTTTCTGCCGGTCGCCTGTCCGGCTTCATCAGGGGTCACGCTACCTCGCGCTGGATGAAACAACAGGAAAAAGCTACACTACATATACCAGCCAAGAGAAGGAAAAAACCGACGTACACCGAAGGCCCTAGAACAGGCAAAAAATACAGTAAATAACTACCAAGTCTACGTCCTAAGCGCTAAAAAAAGGTCTAGATACCTACAACAAAATATTACCCAGGGCCGAAAAAACAAGTACCGGTCCTTAGCAAAGCGTCCCCGGTTCGAATACCACGCAGAAGTCCACACGAAGCAAATACACAGTCACCCTAAAGGAGATACAGCAATCGAGTCCTCAGACATCAAACTTGACAGAAATACAGGGATCGAGCCCACGAGGCGTGTATAACAAGAAGTCAGAAAAAATGCCCACCAAGCAAACCCTGAAGCAGCTACCAAAGGCACTACAAATACTTCCAGCCAGTAAAGCAGGAAACCCAGTTGTCCCAACAGTTATTCATACGACTAGAAAAATTTCTCAGGCATTGATCAAAATAAATGTCAGGAAACCTTCTGATTTGTTTTGGCAACTCGTGGTACCTTCATTTTCTTGGTCCCACCCACCACACCACCCTCCCTGCCCCCCCGTTCCAACTCCACTTCATCTGGTGCCCTCAACAGAATTGCAGGCGATGAGTGGTGGGAATTCCCCTCCTCTTGCTGTCTCTCACCCAGCTCGCCCCATACTCTGATGATGCGTGTGTTGCGACTGTGTGTAGCAGCTAGTATTCTGATCTCTGCCGGCCGACCGTGGATGTGTGTTCGCTTGCAGAACGTGTATACATCATATGGAACGCAGGGATTTGTGGCCGCTGCACCAGCGGGAGCATATGGAGGACCAGGTGCTGTCCCAGGAGCAGGGGTGTATGCCGGTAGCTATGGTGGCTATTCACAACCCTTGCAGTCCAGTGGCCCAACAGGAGGGTACACAGCCCCACAAGGGTTCACAGCAGGTGTGACGGCTCCCACGATTGGACCCATCTATGGTGGTCCTGGCGCTGTGCCAAGTGGAACAGGCATGCAGGCTTATTCAGGTCCTGTCCCTGTGAGTGGATATGGTCCAGGAGTGCCAGCCGCTGTGGCAGGAGCAGCACCCGTGTCATCGGTCCCGGTATCAGCTGCAGGTTCCAACTCCCAACCTTATGGAATGTCCTCTGTTGCACCCCCGCAGTATGTTTCAGGACCACAGGACCAAGCAGCAGCATGATCCCCTTGTATTTCTGTATGACGTGTGATTCAGTGGCCCGAAAGCGAACAGGAGGGCATCAAGACGCTCGCGATTGCCCACAATCCTATTGCGTGTGAGGGATATCTTTCTTCTTGACCTCTATGCCGAGGTTCCTTCTGTGAGATACTTTGTCATCAGGTTAGATCACTTTCCTTTCCCTTGAATACCCTCCTGTCCCGAACCCCTTTTTGTCTCCTTTTAAGGTTTGATGTCGTAAGAGAGAAGGGAAGGGAAGAGCATGTTATCACACGACCCGGGGGGGGGGGGGGGGGGGGGGGGGGGGGGGGGGGGTGAGAAGCAATGGTATGAGAAATTACAGGCAAGATGGTGTTGGACATGCCAATTACCAACCAGTAGCAGCAGAGGTTAGTACGAGATGAGAATAGCAGTAGTGGCTAGCAATTAATGATGATTTCCAACGTGGGGGAAAGTAGTGGTGGTGAAGGTAGTGGGAATGGTCGGATGGGGTGGGAAGAGAGGTTCTGAAAAGAGGGGATGGGCGGGGGGTGGTCAGAGGATGGGATGGGGTTGCTGTTAGGCATGTAGAGGAAATTGCCAAGGTAGTTAAATATCTTGGTTTGTTGATGCTGAGGGCCGCTGCAAAAGAGAGCGGCTTCCTCCTTCCTTCTGCGAATAAGCAAATGTTGCACGTTTTCAGCAATTCTCCTCCTACGCGTTGAGCTTGTTGACATCTCTCTCTCTCTCTCTCTCTCTCTCTCTCTCTCTCTCTCTCTCTCTCTCTCTCTCTCTGTGTGTGTGTGTGTGTGTGTGTGTGTGTGTGTTTGCAGTGGTGGTTGTTCTGTGTAAGGTGTACGTACAGTGACCTCCAGCACGCCTTTGATGCACATTTGAAATTTCAAATGCGCCTCTTGTTTGTTTATTGAACTGGAGGTAGTTTCCCACCGATTTCACTGACTCGGTTGTGTTTGGTGAGCTGCACTCACTCCACCGCACAACAAAGTTGTACTCTCTGTGCTGGCAGAATTAGAATGATGGGTAGTATTGTCAAGTGCTGATTTGTTTTTGCATGCATTGCAAGGGGCTCATTCTTGCAGATGGTCGTCCGTACCCAAAATGACACCGCTGCTGTACTCCGGATGCAGCTCCCATTTTTTTTTTGTTGAAAAAGAAGACCATCGGCCGTTTATCAGTCCAGTAAAGACTCTCTTACACCGGACTAACCTCTCCGTTTCTTTATCCGTGTCAGCACAGCTACTCGCACCAATCTGTCATGCGATGGCTGAATCACATTTGAATGTCCTCAGTTCAAAGGAAAGGCTTTCTGAAGGAGGTTTGCCTCTCGTTCCGCCCAGATCGCTCACCGCCCAGATCTCGTCCAGATCGGTAGAGAGAGGACTGCAACGTCACCCACGAGAAATTGGTTCCAAATATGTACCTTGTCTCCGAACTGCCTATCCGTCGCGCCTCGAGACACCTAACCCATCCTGTACGCACATGGATGTAGGCTACCCCCGAGATTTCCGTGCACTCTTCCATTTGGCCACTGGCACACCGTGCGATACCAGTCACGGCACGGCATACAGAAGTAAGTGCCATTTTGTCTGTTTGCTTTCACTGCGTTTTTGTTGCCAGGAGATATAATGAAGAAGTTAGTTGGATTGCAGGGAGGAGGGGTTGGGGGGGTGCGTACTCGCCTATTGAAATGCCACAGGACGGGTTGATGACGGCGAGAGAAGTTCGGTGATGTGTGCTACCGTAGTGAGTGCAGATAATCCAGACCATGTGTTGCGCAGCTCCAGTCTCCACGGTCTTCTGGAGGCCAATGTAGCTAACCTGGTGCAGTTTCTTTTGCACATCCATGTTCCACATTATTTTACGCCATGGCTTGCTTGATCGGTCCGTGCATCCCATTTTGAATTTTTGAGTCAACAACACCCACGCTCGCCTCCCTTCTGAGACGTACGGCAGCTTGCATTTTTGCTTTGTGCATCATTCTTGGCGAAGGTCTTGCCATAGCTGCCTTTTGCTCATCCTCTTTCTGTGCTTCGGATCCGGGTTCTGAACGCAAGTGCTCCATGCCAATCGGCATGCGCATTCCGCTTGAGCTTGACTTAGGAGCATACTGACCCACACCAGGGCTTTCCTGGATGTTTATGTCCGCTTTTCCGACCTGGCCTGGATGCACCTGACCGCAATTACGCCCACAGAGAAGTGGAAACAGTCCTAGTGTGAGTATGACCTTACTCTGCACAACCTGAAGTGAAAGAAGTCCTGATGTAAGTACGACCATAGTCTGGACAACTTCATACCCAGAGGAATTTACGTTATGTCATGGCATGTAGACTTTTGTTTTCACAATTTGTCCGCATGCTTCTTTGGTGAAATTGACCGTGTGCCCTGCCCTACGCTATGTTCTCTGGAGGAGTATGCTTTCTGTATCTTTCCTGCCGCAATGGCCTGCAGGAGGGAGACACTTGAGAGAAAAGTGGTTTTGGCCCCTACGTTTTCTTCGTTTCCTGCAGAAACATGGTTTTTAGTTGGCTTTGCGGACTGCGCACGGTGCCAAACAGGGGCTGTGTTTCTCCTGCAGAACACATTTATTAAGCTTTTTCCTCCCCGAAGCAAAGGTGCGGTTCAGAGAATTCAAGGAAGTGAGAAAACCCCGCGGTAAGTTTCAGGGGTGCAGAGATCTAAGGCGGGGTATCTGCTATCTACGCGCGGCTCCATCCTTTTGTATTGTCTGCAAACACTTGGGCAAAAGCAGAAAAGGCCGAAAAGGAGGCAAACTGGTTCCCCCAACCCCTTCCCCGCTCCCCCCTCCCTAAAAAGAAAGGCATTGATCATTATCATGACATTATGGCACCATCACTGCACGCGCCCAGCCTCATTTCTGCAGAACCCAGAAAAGTTTGCCCTTTACAAGCTGTGCTTATGAAGAGTGGTTCTTGGTACTCGCCGCTCTGGTATTCCAGGGTGAGACAATGGGCCTCTCCGCACTGCTCTCCAAATGTGCAAAATGGGAATGAATCTTCCTGTAGAATGTGGAAAGATACACCACCATATGTCTCGTCTTTTGTAGTGCAGCGAGGCCCTATGCTGCTGTATGTCACAGCAATCTGGGTCACCAATGTTGTGGTGGTATGTGTAGGTGGTGGTCATTACTACAAGGAATGCGGGAGTGGTCGTCCTTCCTTCTCTGAGTGTGGCACTGTTTACCGTCCATTGTTAAGCATCACTGAGCACTGGCTCATTTCTGCAGGAAACCTTTTACACTCTGTGAGGTGGTTACAAATACCGTTCTTGTCATTCGCCGCCCCTCCCGTATTCCATGGTGAGGGACGATGGCGGTGTATGTTGTTATGGCAATCTTCTGCAGGACGGACCCCTTTTGTACTCCGTGAGGTGTTTACAAATATCGGTTCTTGGTATTCACCCCCTCCGGTGTTTCTCTGTGAGAGAGAGACCATGGCAGTGTATGTTACAGGAATTAGGGTCACCACTGCTGCGTTGTGCATTGTTGGTGGGTGGTGATTGAATGTGAGAGCTGTTCCACTGAATGGGAGAGTGGTGGCCCTTGTCTTGTGACACTCTGTTAACCATCTGTTGTTGACGGGCACATTATAACATCACTTCAAAGTTCAAACGCACCCTGAAAATGAACGTATACGAGGTTAATTTCTGGCCCGATACAGTCAAAAATGAGGGTGTGTTGTGTTTGGGGGAAGACGGTAGCATTCTGTCTGGTGCCCAATTGTGTGTGTGTTTGATCATTGCCATACGAAAGCATTAGTATAATGTGTCCGGTGCGCGATTGTGTCTGCCCGTCGCATACGAGAGCATCACGTCTCTCTAGTATGGAATGGGCGCAGTAGACGATCCAATGTCAACAAGGGAGGGAAGTGAGTGTTGAATACTAGAGCATGGCTGGAGCTAGACAATGTTTTTGCGAATATACTGGAGGGCTGGAAGCTCTGGTGATTGGAGATGTGATTGTGAAGCAGACCAGCACTGCACAGCAGTAGTGCATCCCAAATTGACTCACTGTCAACTGCCAAAATCAACCTTGAGAAAAGCTAGGCTTTTTTCGTTCACCATGGCATTATTGACTCTCGTTAAACATTGCGCAGCCTGGCATCTTGCTAGGGCTGTGCTTCTTCTATCATGGTTAAGAAGCTGAGCTAGGCTCGGATCTTTGGCAGATGCCATCGCGCAGCCTATTACCCCACTGTGTTGCTGGGTAGTATTGGCTGCGTGACATTGTTGCGACGGCAGTCTTCCTATTCCCCTCCCCCGCCCCCCTCCCTCCCTCCCTTCTTGGGTGGTACACACGCCGGGAATTGAACCTTGACAGCATACAAGGATAACATGCGTAAATGGAGAGACGACTTTAGTCATCGTCTTTCCAGGTCCGGGAAACGGAAAACCTCGACGGCTGAAAAGGCAGCTGCTCGGGGGGGACGAGGGAATTGCAGTCAGCTATGAGAGGGGTGGAAGGACTCTAACAATGTGATAATTCGTTGCAAAAGGCTGATGAGAACTGAGGGGTGTCGTTGCTGGCAATGGTAGATCCATCGTGGCTTGGCTTCACCGGCGCACAGCCTAATCAGGGGTAGATTGTGCATTCATGTCGTGCAACAAGAATGCAGTCAGCCGGCTCAAGAGGCGTGGAAGGACTCAAAAAAGGCTGACGAGAACGGAGAGGTGTCATTGCTGGCAATGGGAGATTCATCTTGGCTTGGCTTCGCTTCACCAGCGCACAGCCTCATCAGGGGCTCGAGGATGAGAGGTAGCTTGCGTGCGTATTGCTGTCGTGCTACGAGAATGCGGCCGGCATTCCTTGTGCTCCCCCGTGCCCTTTGTGGAGACAATACTGACATGAAGCCCAGAGATTATCCTTGACTGCTTCGGGACCTTGTGGAAAGGGCGCTGGACTGAAGCCAAGACGGTTTTGGGATGTTAGGTCAGGGATCGCGGAGAGTGAAGTTTCAATCGACCAAGGTAGAAACACTCGGAGGAATGGTCGGTGAAAGTGAATGGAGGAGTTTGGCAATAAGAGACCCATTAGGCGGTGGAGGATTTTTAGTTTTCGACCAAGGTAGAAACACCCAGAGGATTGGTCAGTGAAAGTGAACGGAGGAGTTTGTCTATAAGAGACCCATTAGGTGGTGGAGGATTTTTAGTTTTCTTTTTTTTTGGGAGTAGCTTTTCTCGACTTAAGTGTGTCATCCTTGCGCAAGGACCATGCTAATCTTCTCGGTATCGTCCCAATTTTAACGGATGTACCAAAGGACAGGTAGGTGGTAAAGGGAGGATCTTCTGTCACCGTTACTATGAAAGAAAGCGCTGGCAAGGAAGCGGGCACCCAGAGGTGCAGCAGCGTAAGTGCTGGCGAAGAAACAACGGTTCTGTCGCGGCTCGGCAGAGTTGGAAGGGCTGGGTGGGCTATGTAAGCCCTTGAAGATGGAAGGGAGGTGCAAATTTAAAGTAGATGATGAAGGGATCTCCACGACACGACTGAAAGCTCCGTGGCGTGCGGCGAAACTCAAAGTCAGATCTTTCAAGGAGTTTTGCCCAGTAAGATCTTTGGGGGAGGCCGGACTGTTCGGTTCAAGAAATCATGGCTTTTGCTCGTTTCACAAGACCTGCTAGGGCTGCTGACGGCTGCAGCGATCTTTTTTTTTTTTTTTTTTTTTTTTG